AGATAGATAGATAGATAGATAGATAGATAGATAGATAGATAGATAGATAGATAGATAGATGATAGATAGATAGATAGATAGATAGATAGATAGATAGATAGATAGATAGATAGAGATAGATAGATAGATAGATAGATAGATGATAGATAGATAGATGATAATAGATAAATGATAGATAGATAGATAGAGATAGATAGATAGATAGATAGATAGATAGATAATGGACAGAGAGAGAGAGAGAGAGAGAGAGATAATAGAGAGATCATAGATAATAGATAGTTGATAGGTAGATAGACAGATGATAGAATGATAAATAGATATATATTGTAAATAATATATATAAGGTGATATAAAGCTCTTAACACTCAACAGCATAGAAATCCAAGAAATAAAATAAGCTGACAACTCCTTTGTCTCCTTCCTCTGCTTGGCCCTGCAGGATCTCTCAGGCAGGTGGAACCGCGCAGAGGGCCGCCCCTCCCCCTTTATCCAGAAGAGGGCAGCTCGGATGACGAAGGCCTGCTGGACCTGGTCTACGCCACCAACCTCGAGCTCCACAGCCGGCGGCCTCCCCGTCGAACCCGCCTCATCCGGATGCGCACCCACGAGCTCCAGGTGTCCGACGAGGAATGCCTGACCCGCTTCCGGCTGGACCGCCAGGCCATCCAGGACCTGTGCACTCTCTTGGCCCCCTACCTGGATGGGGCGTCTGCGAGTCGCCGGCACATCCCGACGTTGCAGAAAGTCCTGATAGCCTTGCAGGTTCTCGGCACGGGCTCCTTCCAGCGGATGACAGGAGATAACCTGCGGGTGTCCCAGTCTTCCGTCAGCCGCTGCTTGGACGCCTTCCTGGAGGCCATGTTGCGCCACGTCCACGAGCACATCACCTTTCCCACCACTGACTCGGAGCTGCGGCGGACCAGGGAGGCCTTCTTTGACATCGCAGGGTTCCCCAACGTCATTGGGATTGTGGACTGCACCCACGTGCCTATCATCGCCCCCGCAGACATGCCGGCGCTGTACCGGAATTGCCACAACTTCCACAGCCTGAACGTGCAGGCCACTTGCGACGCCTCGGGTTGCTTCACTCACGTCTTGGCCAAGTTCCCCGGAAGCGTCCACGACGCCCGCATCTTCCAACTCTCCCAGTTGCAAAGGCTGCTGGAGTCGTGGCCGGAAGGGAAGGGGTGGCTTCTGGGTAAGCAACTCCTGAAGTGGGGTTGAGCTGCCCATTTTGAGGCAGGGACAGTTAGGACGTGCGAAGGGAAGGGGGAATTCCCAGGGTAGGGGTAGTCCTCAACTGACGGTCATAACTGAATCCAACATTTTTCTTGCTAAGTCGACAGTTGTTGTTTTTTGCCCCTGTTTTACGCTCTGCCTTGCCCCAGTAGTTAAAGAAGTCGCTGCTGTTGTTAGGAGTAACGTGGTTGTTACGTGAATTTAACTTGACTTTGCTTCGTCAGAAGGTGGCAAAGGGGGATCCTGTGATTCCAGGATTCTAAATAAAAAAAGAGGCCGAGACTTCGGCAAAAGGGCAGAGAAGGGACAGCTAAGATGGTTAAAGGCCTAGACTACGGGGGTCCTCAAACTACGGCCCGTCAAACCATTAATCCGGACCATGAGGCTGCCCTGCCCTCATTGCGCCACTTACCCACCAGCCCCCACCCTCCCGGAGGCCGAGGTGGTCAAAATTGGGAAGCACAGAGGCCAAAAATAGGCCCATTTTTTGACCTCCCTGGCCTCCAGAGAGAGAGGGAAGGAGGAAGTGGGAGAGAGAAAGATACAAACTCACACACACACACACACACACACACACACACACACACTGTCAGGGTTCCGGCCCTTAATTCCCCATTTAAATCGTGAGTCTCGAGCCAAACTTCCAAAACTTCAAAAGGATTTATTGGGAGTAAACATGTCCGGCACTGGCTTGGGTGTAGCCGACTCTGAGACACATCGTTCATTGTCAGCCTTGACCCTGGTTTCCCCCCCACCCCCTGGGTGTATTCATATTCTCCAATGGGACATATCCATAGCCCAATATTTCTATGGTCTTTTTAGAGTTGACACACACACACACACACACACAAAAGGCAGCCACATCCCTTCACTAACCTACTTTCCGCTCCCAAATTAAAGTTTAATTTGTGTGTTTTGTTTAATGCTAAATTGCCCACGCCCACCCAGTCACATGATCACCTAGCCACACCCACTAGCCCGTCCAACACCCTTAAAAGTCTGAGGGACAGGAAATTGGCCCTCTGTTTAAAAAGTTTGAGGACCCCTGGCCTAGAGAGTAAAATATATGAAGAACAGTTGCAGGTGTTCAGGTTTGGCTACTCTAGAGAAAGAATTAGGGGTGACATGATAGTAGTATTCCGGTATTTGTGGGGTTGCCACAAAGAATAGGGGGTCAAATTATTCGCCAAAGCCCCAGAAGGCAAGACAAGAAACTCATCAGGGATGGAAACGTATCAAGGACAGAAGCAACCTGCAATTAAGGAGAAACTTCCTCACAGTGCGGGTAACGAACCAGGGCAACAGCTTTGCTTTAGGGTGCTTCATCACTGGAGGTTCTTAAGAAGAGACTGGACAACCTGTGACGACCCGGAGCGTGAGGCAAAAATAACAAAGTCACAAAAGTAGAATAAATTCCCTTTAATGCCTCCAACTTAGCCCCAATGTCCAATTATTCTCGCCTGGATATCAAATTCTGCCAAAAAAAAAAAAAAAAACAGCCTATGGAGGAAGTAAATGCAGTCCGAACCCAAAGTAAAGATAATTATAAATAAAAAACAACCAACACAAACCACGCTGAAGTAATTAACACGGCAGGCCAGGGTGATAAATTGCAGACTTCTACCAGATAACGCAGCAAGCACAGTTGGGAGGAAGCTAAAAGCCAGATAAGCTTCGACAAGAATAATGCATGCTTTGCTTCCAGCAACTTTGCCTCCTTTTAAACAGTCCTCCCAGTAGCAGCCCATGAAGGGGATCAGGGCCCTTTCCTCCCCCATAGACCACACCACTCACGTTTCTCCCTTATCTGCTCCTCCCTGCCTGCCCTAGGATGAAGAGGGGATGGCCTTGGGTCTTCCTCTGAATGCCCAGCCAGCCTGGGCCCTTCCCCAGTTTCTTCCACAACCTCTGGAGCCACACTCCCACTCCCTGTCAGCTGTTCCATCTCTCCCTCGGAATCAGACTCCCAACAGGGGCATGACACAACCATTGGTCTGAAATAATATAGGGTCTCCTGCTTGGACAGGGGGCTGGACTAGAAGACCTCCAAGATCCCTTCTGGCTCTATTCTGATTGGATAAATATGAGTCAGTTGCCAAGTGTCTGCATTTTTATCATCATGATCCTGGGGGATGCTGCAGTGGCCATAAGTGTGGGGAAACTATCCCAAGTACCTTTTTTTTTTTGAGTGCCGTTGATAACTCTGAACGGCCACTAAACGAATCATTATAAGTCGAGGGCTACCTGTACCCCTTGTATGCTGACACTTGCTTCCTCTCTTCCTCAGGCGACTCGGGGTATCCTTTGCGGCCTTTCCTCATGACCCCGCACCCTGACGACGGCCCTGAGCCCGTGGCGCGCTACAACGCAACCCACAAGACGACGCGGATGGTGGTGGAGACGGCCTTCGGGCAGCTCAAGATGAGGTTCCGCTGCCTTCACTCCACGGGGGGGCGCTTGATGCTCCGCCCGGAGAAAGTGGCGAAGGTTTTTGTCGTCTGCGCCATGCTTCACAACATCGCCTTGAGGCGCCAGCTGCCCATCATCAATGGAGGACAAGGGGTGGACACTGAGGTCCCTGTGCCTCCCTACCTGGAAACCGACACCATGGTCGAACAAGATCCTCAGGGAGTAGAAGTCCGGGATCAGATCGTTAGCACTTATTTCTCACAATAAATGAGCTTTGAATAGACGACGCGCAGTCGGCGGGTCTGTTCTTCCCTGTGTGTGTGTGTGTGTGAGCTTCAGAGAGGAGACAAAGGGTTGTGTGATTGCACAACTGCCTCCCCTGACCTGGAAGATCTTCTATAGCAGGGGTCGCCAACCTTTTGGACCTCAGGGACCACCAAACTCATCATTTTAAATCTCGCGGACTAGAGACCCTGGGAAAATCCCCAAAAAAGTCTGCAGGAAAATTTCCCACCCCGTTTTCCTACTGATCGATCATTCTTCATTTGGGATCGCAGGATACCATCTCCAGGTCTGTTCTCTGGGTGGGAGAGAGAGAGAGAGACTTTTGGCTTCATGCAAGGAAAACAGCAGAAGGAACAGAAGTCTGTCTTTTCCCCCAAACCACCGTAAATGACTTGTCGCGCTGGTGCAGCCTCTTGGAGCAGGGTGCCTTGCAGGATCCTAAACACTCGTTTCTGGCAGGGTTTGGGGGAGAGAAAGAAAGACTTTTGTTGCTTTCCTTGCGTGCAACCAAAAGCAGAAAAAGAAAGAAGCAGCCCAGTGGCCACTCACATGGGGCGAATGGGGCAAATCCCCTCACTCCGCCCTTTCCCCCCTCCCCTCACTACCTCGTGTTGTTCGCGACGCTAGCCTTGTGTTTCCGTGGGCCATGTGTGTGACGCAGCCTTGTGTTCCCACGCAGCCTGGATTAATCGCTTTGGGATCTGCAGACCACCAAAGTTTTCTCACGGGCCACCAGTGGTCCCCAGCTCACTGGTTGGCGACCACTGTACTAAAGCAGGGGTGTCAAACGGGTAGCCCACAGGCCAGATGTTTCACACGCAGGCCATGCTCACCCCGGCTCTGCAAAAAGGCAAAAAACTGTTGCGGTATGTCACGTAATGTCATGTGTTGTTGCGTAGCATCATCATCATCATCATCTCTTAAGGACACCATAATCCCTTGCGGGGTGGAGTCTAGGCCATCAAATGGAGTTGAGGGTATACTGGCAGGATGCCCTTCCTGTCACCAATATGGAGTTATATTTGGCAGATATATTCTTATTGTGCCCAAAGAGAGACATATCTGCCTCTACCTAGGACACTAGTGGCTAAGATTTTTGGGCTCTTGTGCCAAAAATTGAGTGCGCGTGAGCACCTGCGCATGAGCGTTCCAGCACCCAGAATGCAATGCCCCCTGCGCATGCACATGCAACCCCTCCCGCCACCCCCTTACTTACACTGCACCTCACAACTGATTTTTTGGCTGGTTTGAGGCCTTTTTCGGCCTCCCAGAGGCTGAATAATACGCCCGTTTTGTCACTTCCGTTTTTACAGGAAGTGACAAAATGGGCCTATTTGACCTGAAAAGCCTAGCAGAGGCTTTTTCCAAGCCTCTGGGAGGCTGAAAAAGGCCTGAAATCAGCTGTGAGGCGTGCGCAGTGAGGTAAATTTGCCTACAGCTCGCCTGCCGGCACAAATAACTGCAATGCCACTTGTGGCACGCATGCCATAGGTTCGCCATCACGGACCTAGGATCAAACTCCCAGCCTCCTGAGTGTGAGGCGAGAGCTCCACCTCTACCCCACAGCATCACTTTAAAGCCGTGATGGCGAATCTATGGCACACAGGCCAGAGGTGGCACACGGAGCCCTCTCGCTGGACATGTGAGCTGTCGCCCCAGCTCAGCTCTGCCGCACATGCGCCGGCCAGCTGGTTTTCAGGTCTCTAACGTCCATGCAAGGAGGGGGGCATGCAGAGGGTGTATGCGTGAGGGACACGTGCACAGGAAGGTGGGGTATGTGCGCAGAGGATGCAGGTGCATGCGCAGGGGTGGGGAATGCCACACGCATGCGCAAGGATGCTTGTGCAGTGTATTTTGGGGATGCGTGCATGCTTTCGGCACTTGGTGCCGAAGAGGTTAGCCATCGCTGCTCTCAAGGCTGCTGCATATGCCCAACACAATTGTTTTTAGGAGGAGGTTAGGGCTGACAGGAGTTGATCTCACAAGCTGGCCTAAGGTTTTATGCTACGGAAAAGGGATGCAAAGAACTGGGTTTGTTGCTCTTTTGGATCGCGTTGCATGAAATTCTTAGGAAACAGCAGAAGAAAATGGGACGTTGAGCATTCCAGAAGTCTAATTTACAAATATTCAGTGGAATGTAAGTGTTGAAAGAGTTCTTCAAATCCTCTAATTAACGAGTTTCGCCAACTGGGGGACTGTCAGGTGAGCTGGCTGGGGAATTCTGGGAGTTGAAGTCTACACGTCTTAAAAAGTCCCCAGGTTTGAAAAACTCTTTGTTGTGTTCAATGACAGGAATTAACGCAAACATCATACCATCTACGGGTAATCCTTGACTTACAACAGTTCATTTAGTGACCTAAGTTTGAAAAAAAAAGGGCACTGAAAGTTACAGCTCTTTTTCACACTTATGACCAATGAAGCCAATGCACTTATGACCAATGCATCCCCACGGTCGCATGGTCAAAATTAAGACGTTTGGCAACTGACTCATGATGATTGTGGTGTTCCAAAGTCATGTGATCCCCTTTTGCGACATTCTGATAAGCCAGGTCCATGGGGAAGCCAGATTCCCTTAACAATCGTGTTACTAATTTATGATTCCCTTAACAACAGTGGCAAGAAAGGTCGTTAAATGGGGCAAAACTCACTTAACAAACATTTCACTCAGCGACCTAAGTCCTGGGGTCAATTATGGCTGTAACTCGAGGACTACTAGTATGTTGTGTTTAGCTGGCAGCAGGTGCGGACAATTGAGGAGAGCGAGGATTCAGATGAGGGACCAGGACCATCAGGGAGTGGACTGCTGCCTTCAGAGATTGTGGGGACTGGCAGCAGCGATGAGGAGGTTCCTGAGGAGCCTGTGCCAAGTGCGTGTGCACACAGGACTGCTCATAGGAAAGAGCAGTTACAACAGCACGGGTGACTCCGCAGTAAGGCTGCAAGGTAATGGCCCCTCCTTCAAAAGATAAAAGCCAGCTGTGAAGTGCATATTCTTTGCATGAAGCAAAGACGTTTTGAAACTCAGCCTCGTGGACATTACAGTATCTTAAGTTGGTATTGGAAGATTCTTGTGTTGTGAAATATTTTATCTGTTATTCTTGGCAGACCAGCACAGTTTTGGCGAAGCTTGTGCTTATCAAAGTTAATTAGTTTGCAGCAGCCTTTTAACCAGGAATTCGTAAGAATCATTAAAAGGTTTCTGTTCTCTTTGGTTCGTGTTTGTTTGATTGGAAAAGGGTTTGGGTCAGAACATAGTATTTCCATCTGGGACCCATCATCCACAACTGAAATTTTTTTTACACCTATCATAGTGCTACTGGTTGTGCCAGATGGGTGTTGCGGCTCAGCATTGCGAGATGAGGGCAAAAAGGAAAGGCTCGCATCCTGCATAAGTATTAAATTTGTTTTCATTCCCCAGAAGATCATGGGTATCTAATGCACAAGGATTTTATTTGGAAGTAAAAACTGTTTTAACTACACTCAGGTAAGCGTGCACGGATTTCCAGCTTGAAACATGCCGCTTCCACCATTCTCAATGGACAGTAAAAAAAAAACCAATTTGATGCCTCTCATCAACACCTAAGCCATTATAGGTAATCCTTAACTTAGTACCATAATTAGGTCCTGGAATTTCAGTCATTAAGTGATATGGTGTTTAAGTGAAACCACACTTGATCTTACGATTATTTCTCTTGTCGTTCATCAAGCTGGCTTGGAAAGGTTGCAAAATCATGATCAAGATATCCCAAGTGCTGTAAATGCCAGCTGGTTGCTAAAGATGAACAGAGTTGGAAGGGACCTTGTAGGTCATCTAGTCCAGCCCACTGCCCAAGCAGACCCTGCACCATTTTTGACAGATGGAGTCTAGTCTCTTCTTAAAAGCTTGGTTGGCCAAGAGTCCAATTTGTGATCATGTGACCAAAGGAATGCCACAAGGCTCCGTCTTAGGCCCAGGACTCTTCAATATCTTCATATATGGCTTAGATGAAGGAATAGAAGGGGAACTTACCAAATTTGCGGATGATACTAAACTGGCAGGAATAGCCAACATCCTGGATCTTGAGGTGATTGGCTCAATATGGATCTTGACAGACTAGAACACTGGGTCCTGTCTAACAAAATGAAATGAAACGTAGAGAAAACTACAGTCTTAACAGGGATACAATCGAGATCAAGGGAGGTACTAATACCACTCTATAAAGCCTTAGTAAGACCGCACCTAGAGTACTGCATCCAGTTTTGGTCACCACACTTGTTGCTCTTCTCTGTACTTTTTCTAGAGTCTCAACGTCTTTTTTATAGTGTGGTGAACAAAACTGGATGCAGAATTCCAAGTGTGGTCTTACTAAGGCTTTATAGTGTGGCATTAGTACCTCACTTGATCTTGAATGTATGGTACTACTATCTGGTTCAGGATGGGTAGCAAACTTTTCTCAAACTTTGCAACTTTTAAGATGTGAACTTTAGCTCCTAGAATTCCCCAGCTAGCATGGCTGACTGAGGAATTCTGGGAGTTGAAGTCCACCCTTCTTAAAGTTGCCAAATTTGAGAAAGAATGGCCTATATCCGTGATGGCCAACCTATGGCACGTGTTCCACAGGTGGCACGCAGAGCCATTTGTGCCGGCACGCGAGCCACAGGCAAACTTACCACACTGTGCATGCTTGCACTTTAGGGGTAAGTCCACTTGTCCTCAAACCCGCTTCGGATTTTCCATTCCTTTCCTCCCTAAGAATTAACTTCCCACCTCAGAAGCTTTTCGACTTGTTGTAAGGTGTCAAAATGCCTTTCTTTCGAGGATTCGATTTTCCCCCTGGGAGAGCTCCGGCGCAAGGATACGGACAACTGCTTGAAAGCTGGATCTTTTTATTTTTCAGGAAGGCGGGGGACAGCGAGAAGTCTGCGTTCCTGGGCTAGCTAGCTTCTTATGGTAAGTCCCTGGTTTTTTATACCCTTTTCTCCCTTTGTAAGTTGATTTTGTGTGAATGTTTGTATTTGTGCTTAATGTTTCAAATCCTGTTTGAGTTTGTCTTTATTCCCGCTGGAGGGTGAACTCCGCGGGTGGTTAGATTGTATTAT